TTATAGTTAACACAGGGATATATGCTTTAATGATTTATTTTAGTTCTAGGTTTGAGATCATTCCTGACTACTTTTTTTATACTGCTTGTTGCTAAACTAGACTTACATTAAACCTATAAAAAACATGATAAACAAGAAAACCCAACAAATTCTATCAACGTCAACTTTCAAAACACAAATATTAAAAAAGAAAAGAAAAGGTTACACATTTAAAATTAACAAACACAAAGTTTAAACATATTTTCTTCAAAAGTCTACCACATCTATACATTTTCAAGCTAAAAAATATTATATTATATTCATTAAACACAAACTCCAAAATGCAAATGTCTTCACAGATATCATGGATATGGTGCAATAACTGAAATTTATTTTTTAATTTTAATAAGTCATTCTGGGGTCAAGGTCATATAATCAAGGTCTCTTTCGAAGGTATGTTGCATTAACATAATGAGGCTCAAACTAACAAAATTAAGTAGTGATGGCATAAGATAAAGACACCGATAGCAATACAAAAATTTGTAATACTTATAGATTTTTAAGTTTCATCAAAAATAAACACTGTTCGTTACTGCCGGAGTAAAAATCTTACAAACTCTTTGTATATAATTTCTGGGACAAGTAAGCTCTAGAACACCATGAACGTCCAATGATCTTGCTGACTGGTATCCACACATGAGAGAATCCAAAGTCTCCAGGGGGATTCGAACCCAAAACATTGAGGGGCTAGTGATTTAACATCTGCAGCCATTGACATCACTTCAGAGACAGGACAAGACAAGACAGGACCAGAGCAAATTTGCATCAGTCATATTTTTTTTACATAGAATATAACATGGTTTATCAACTAACATACAAATTTATCAAAAACTAACCTCTCATAAACTATATGATATGCTTAATAAATAGACAATGATATGAATGCAAATACTACAGTAATAAATCTAACTAAACATACAAATGAAAACACCTAAATGTCTCACTGTTCTTTTTCACGTGTCAGCTGTTTTGCTGTTTGAAAGATGGGAGCATTTGCTGACAAGAAGATGGTTAAAATGGTTTGTTTGTTCGTCCGGAATGATTTAAAAAATATCACTTATGATATTTTCTTAAAATCCATAATAGACGGTTGAAGAAAAATCATTCTACAGCTTTGAAAGAACAATTTCAATGTTCTTACAAAAACCATTGCAATATGTGAAAAGTTGGGTAAAATTTTTGAAAACCATTACTTGTGTCTTTTAAAGTAATTGAAAACATCTTCACTAAAGCATGTCAAAAGGAAACATTCTGTTTTTGGTAATGTTTTAATATCACACTTACACAGTATAGGTCATATGGTGACTTTCCAGCTTAACTGATGGAGGAAAAAACTCGGGTACCCCTCTGTATATTATTTCAGGCATGAGCAGACACCGGAGTATAACCATCAACATTCTGTAAGCTAGCTACACAGATTCCTTTAGTGAGAGAATCCAAACCCCTGTCGAGATTCAAATCCACAGGAGTTAGGTTTATGTGGTTTGAAGTTAACAACCTGAACCTCTCGGCCATGAACCAATTGTGGGTCTAGTTACCTTTGCTTAATGACTGCAGTCAGACTTAATAACCTCTTTTATAGAAACAATAGAGAAATTTCATTAAATTGGTTCCGAAAAATGTTTAATATAGACTATCAACGTTAGAGGCATAACTTGTACTCCTGTGTTGTTAGAGCAATTTAAAGGTACCTCATCACAAAAGTGGCTCTTGTTAATGTGAAATTTTCACTTAAACTTTTCTTTTAAACTCCTGAATTGTAAGAGCATTTTAAAGGTACCTCATTACTCTTGTTAATGTAAAATTTTTACTTTCATACATCTTCATTTTGTAAACAAATGTTAATGGTTTCAGTATATTTATTTACAATATGGCACTTTACATTAATAAACAAGTCTTAATAAGGTACTGTCACTAAATAAAACTCTCCTAACTGAAAAACAAAATTTTGGTCATTTCACTTAAATCACTAGGTATGTCTAAGGCCAGACTACGGTGAGATGGTAGTTATAACTATTAAGTCAATAGTTTTACCTTCTTTAGAAAGGCAAGTGGTGAGAAAAGAAGGTGAAAACAGTATGAAAATGGCACTGAATGGGAGATAATAACGATGATAAAAATAAAATAACCTGAAATAAATTTGCCATAGTTTTTGCCATTAAATTCTAAGAGTTACCTAAAATATATGACAGATGAAATAACCACGGACAAACTTCATTTATTCTGCACACAACCTTTATCTGTAAATTTTCTTCAATCATACACAATATGTATTTTAATCTTCCTTAAGTTAATATCTCTTTGAGAAATAAAAAGAAAATATAGTGAATTCTAAAGTGTATAAAAATGATAGATGTAAGTCAAAAAAAAGAAAAATTGAGTAATATTGTAAAATATGTGCATTTTATTGCATTTTGCTTAAATACTGCTTAAAACAAATACAAAGAAAGAAAATAAAAATGAAAACATAATATTTGAACAAAAATACATGTATATCAAACAAAACCAGATACATATAGTTGTGAAAAAAACCCATCTTTTGAATGTAAAATTTAAAGAATGACTGACATCTTTCACTCAAAATTTACATGGTACTTATGATCAAATTGCTTTGAAACAAAAAGGTTAGTTTAACAATTCCTATGACAAAAAAAAACAACTTTTATCTAACTGGACATGGAAAAATATATAAATATTTTACGAATATAATACATATAAAAAAAATCATTTTGAAAAAATCTATTAATTTATGTTGCTAAGCAAAGATTATTGATTATAATTTTAAAATATAAATATACACATATGTCTGCATTCAAAGAGAGAGAAAAAGTTCTATGACCCTGTATACAGGTTATGATTATACATATTTAATTTTTTGTATTTTCTTCTAAGTAAAGCAATTTCTTGTTAATTTCAACTTATTTTTTTCATATACTTTTCGACTATAAAATGTCTATAACCTTTTTCTGATGTTTAAATCATGAAAATGATAAGGAAAATGTAACTGTAAAACTTGCTTCAATTAAAAAAAAATAAAGTTGTACCTACGATCAGGGTATGGTAAGTTAAACAAGATTGTGCTTGCAAGTAGCTTGCATTATTTGTATTCTATACAGTTTATACTGAAAACAGTGCATAAAATGTTACTTTCCATCTAAAAAACTAATCCAAACAACACAAAAATCTGCCTTGAAACATAGCATAAAACAATGATGGAAAAAAATAAACCTAAAAAAAACAAAAAACAAAATTTGAACATAAACTAGAAATGTGTCCATAGGACACGGATGCCCCCACACCCCACTGTTCTGTCAATCTTATGACTCTAGGTCAAATATTTTTTGGACTACATGTGCCACAAGTTGAAAACTAAAAATCAACAAAGGGCCATTATTCTGTTAAATTTGGTCACAGCAAAAATTCCTTCCTTTACTACCATCTACACATTAAGGTTGTTCATCCCTGGAAGTTTAAGCAAAATCTGCCATCCAGTTTAAGAGGAGTTGCGTTCACAAAATTTCTACATAGTATATAGTGAAAAAATCAACAAAGGGCCATAATTCTGTTAAATTTAGTCGCAGCAAAAATTCCTTCCTTTACTACCATCTACAAATTAAGGTTGTTCATCCCTGAATTTTAAGCAAAATCTGCCATCCGGTTTAAGAGGAGTTGCGTTCACAAAATTTCTACAGAGTATGTAGTGAAAAAATCAACAAAGGGCCATAATTCTGTTAAATTTGGTTGCAGCAAAAATTCCTTCCTTTACTACCATCTACACATTAAGGTTGTTCATCCCTGGAAGTTTAAGCAAAATCTGCCATCCGGTTTAAGAGGAGTTGCGTTCACAAAATTTCTACATAGTATATAGTGAAAAAATCAACAAAGGGCCATAATTCTGTTAAATTTGGTCGCAGCAAAAATTCCTTCCTTTACTACCATCTACACATTAAGGTTGTTCATCCCTGGAAGTTTAAGCAAAATCTGCCATCCAGTTTAAGAGGAGTTGCGTTAACAAAATTTCTACATAGTATATAGTGAAAAAATCAACAAAGGGCCATAATTCTGTTAAATTTGGTCGCAGCAAAAATTCCTTCCTTTACTACCATCTACACATTAAGGTTGTTCATCCCTGGAAGTTTAAGCAAAATCTGCCATCCGGTTTAAGAGGAGTTGCGTTCACAAAATTTCTACACAGTATATAGTGAAAAAATCAACAAAGGGCCATAATTCTGTTAAATTTGGTCGCAGCAAAAATTCCTTCCTTTACTACCATCTACACATTAAGGTTGTTCATCCCTGGAAGTTTAAGCAAAATCTGCCATCCGGTTTAAGAGGAGTTGCGTTCACAAGATTTTGGGACGTACGGACAGACGTACTGACGGACGGACGGACGGACAGACGGACGGACACTCGGACGGACAAGTGCAACGCTATATGCTCCCACTCTGTGGGGGCATAAAAATGAAACTGGGATTTCTGGTTACCATGACAACTTTTTCTCATTATGATTTAAAAACACAGCAAATCATATATATTATCATAACATTTGTTCATCAATTAGTCATCCACTAGACATCTATCTAAGATTATTCTGTCAAAAATCCAGGGTTTATTTTCTCTGTCCTTTTTCTATACAAGAAATGCTAATGCCACTGTTCACTTATTTTTTGTTTCACCACATATATTTCTTCTTTTATCATTTGTTAAGTTTGATAAAATTGAAATGTTATTGTCCGGTATATATATTAACAATTTAAGATATTTAAATAGTTAGAAAAAGTAAAAAAAAAACCCAATCTTAGTGTATAAAACACTGTGGGAGCCTGACAACAGTGGTTTCCTGCCATTTGATTAATATAAATGTATGTAAAACAAAAGATAAAAGAACAGTGGCTGCATGAAGCATATGTTCATATTTATAAATAAAAATAATAGGCCAGTACAAAACGTTTTTTTTTAAAAAAAAAACATTTTCTGTCTTTACTTGAATTAACTTCTGTACAATTATGCTTTTGTCTAAAAGCATCAAATATTTCACTCAGGCCATATTTTTATCTGTTTCTTATTTTGTTTCTGCATTTTGTGTCTTATTTCTGGTCTTTTCTGATAAATATGCATCATCACTTGCAGATATCTTTTTTTCTGAAAGCTTTTACCTATCCTTTTCCAAAGAGTATTTCATCCTTTGTAAGAAAAAGTGTTTTACTATTTTAAGTCCATGTTGCCGATGTTACATATTAAGGCTGAGAGATGACATGTTACACTGATGGGTTAAATGTCTTTTTCAAGGTTTGCATTGGTCATGTTCAGCATTGGTGTCATAAATCATGAGAAATTGTCATTGTTCGGTTAAGAAATGTGAAACGCAATGGAACATGTTCCACATTCTTTACCGTCTGCTAATCAAGCGAATCCTCGTACAGCACTGTCTTCTATTGGTTTCATCTTCTTGTCTAATTATTCTACATTCTAAAATCAGCCAATGAATTTATAGCGAACACTTTCTGAATTGAATAAATTAGTTGGATAATATTCATGAACAATTTAAATAAATTGTCTGTAAATCACAACTTTGAAGAACTCAATTTTGTCCGTTGACCATCTGCTCTTTACCAGCTCCAGAAGGTGGTAACGTTTCATGGCTGACTTTCCCCCCTTTATTCTCTGCATCTCCAGCATTCTGCTGGGAATTCCTAGGTGCTCCTCCATTACCATTCCTCATTGGAGGTCTGTTATTGAATCCACCCCTTCTAGAGTCTCGCTGTTCCTTGGGTGCCGACTCATTTTGACTTTCACCGTTGGCCGCCTTAGGACTGGGGACTGGAGATTCGTTTCGTGCATCATTCCTAGAATTAGCTCCTTTACCACGGTTAGATGAAGCACCACGGGGATAATTAGATACACTTGTGTCGGTCTCAGTACCGGAAGCTGCACTACTGTTACCTCTGCCTGGTCTCATACGTCTTCTTCTACGGCGACGCTCCGTACCAGACCGACTGTCACTGTAGTCTGCAAATAGAACAAGAGGGCCATGATGGCCCTGAGGTCGCTCACCTGTATATAGCCCCCCCAACCCCCACCCCCCCAACGTTGCAGAGCCAATTTAACCCAATGCTTTTATTTGCACAAACTTGGTAGACACCCATAAGAAGATGTTTCATGCTAAACATTTAAGCTCTAGCTCATTGGGCTTTTTAAAAGAAGATTTTTTTTAAGTTTTTACTATACACATATAGTTAAAAACAATGACACCCCAGGGGCCGGGCCAGTTTTGACCCCAGGGCTTTTATTTGAACAAACTTTGTAGACACTTACTAGAAGATGTTTCATGCTTAATATCTAAACTCTAGCTATTTGGGTTTTTTCAAAGAAGATTTAAAGTTTTTGCTAAACACATATAAAGAAAATCAATGACCCCTGGCGCGGCCAATTTTGACCCCTGGGCTTGTATTTGAACAAACTTGGTAGACACCTATTAGAACATGTTTGATGTTCAATATCTTAGCCATAGCTCTTTGAGTTCTTTAAAAGAAGATTTTTTAAGTTTTTACTATATGCATATAGGGAAAATCAATGACCCCCCGGGGCGGGGCCAATTTTCACCCCAGGGCTTTTATTTGAACAAACTTGGTAGACACCTATTAGAACATGTTTCATGCTAAATATCTTAGCTCTAGCTCTTTGGGTTCTTTAAAAGAAGATTTTTTAAGTTTTTACTATATGCATATAGGGAAAATCAATGACCCCCCGGGGCGGGGCCAATTTTGACCCCAGGGCTTTTATTTGAACAAACTTGGTAGACACTCACTAGAAGATGTTTCATGCCAAATATCTAAGCTCTAGCTCTTTGAGTTCTTTAAAAGAAGATTTTTTAAGTTTTTACTATATGCATATAGGGAAAATCAATGACCCCCGGGGCGGGGCCAATTTTCACCCCAGGGCTTTTATTTGAACAAACTTGGTAGACACCCATTAGAACATGTTTCATGCTAAATATCTTAGCTCTAGCTCTTTGGGTTCTTTAAAAGAAGATTTTTTTAAGTTTTTACTATATGCATTTAGGGAAAATCAATGACCCCCTAGGGCGGGGCCAATTTTGACCCCAGGGCTTTTATTTGAACAAACTTGGTAGACACTCACTAGAAGATGTTTCATGCCAAATATCTAAGCTCTAGCTCTTTGAGTTCTTTAAAAGAAGATTTTTTAAGTTTTTACTATATGCATATAGGGAAAATCAATGACCCCCGGGGCGGGGCCAATTTTCACCCCAGGGCTTTTATTTGAACAAACTTGGTAGACACCCATTAGAACATGTTTCATGCTAAATATCTTAGCTCTAGCTCTTTGGGTTCTTTAAAAGAAGATTTTTTAAGTTTTTACTAAATGCATATAGGGAAAATCAATGACCCCCCAGGGCGGGGCCAATTTTGACCCCAGGGCTTTTATTTGAACAAACTTGGTAGACACTCACTAGAAGATGTTTCATGCCAAATATCTAAGCTCTAGCTCTTATGGTTTTTTAAAAGAATATATTTAAAGTTTTTTCTTTCCGTTGCCATGGCAACCAGAGTTTTGCATGGAATTAAATTCTTTGAACAATTTTTAAAGGTGACCACCAAAGGAACATTCCTGTGAAGTTTGGATGAAATTGGCTTAGTGGTTTATGAGGAGATGTCATTTAAAGTAAAAGTTTACGGACGGACAGACGGACGGACGACGGACGGACGCCGGACGAAAAGCGATCACAAAAGCTCACCCTGTCACTTTGTGACAGATGAGCTAAAAAAAAATAAAGAAAGAAGATCAGTTTGGTAGTCTGAATTTTTTTCTGCAAGATGTTTAAAGTAGAAGTGATATGAGCCTACAAAAGAATTTATGGTATGGAAACAATCCTGGAATTATAAGTAAGTTAAGTGAGAAAGTTACTGCTTATTTTTTCCTCATGTTTTGTCATGTTTCATTTTCAATTTGTAACTGACAGAGTAGCCAACATAAACTGCAATGTTATATTGTTATTTTTTTGCTAAGTATAATCTTCTTTCTAAATTAAGAGAAGGGGTACTTCTTTGTAATGAAACATTCTTCTATTACAAAAGACCATCAGCACATAAAAAGTTTGTTTATTTGTCTGATTGAGTTTTATGTCTTACCAACACAGAATTTGTGAAATGGTGACGTTCCAGCTTTAATGGTGGAGGAAGACCTCATGCCCTTCAATGCATTATTTCAGACAAGAACGGGCACTTGAGTAGAACCACTGACGTTCTGTAAGCTTGCTTGCACGTAAAAAAGAGTTAAAAGAAAAATATGACACAAGTTTTAATTTCTATACATACCTTGATCTTGACTATTGACGCTAGCATTATCTAGGACGGTGTCATCATCATCTGTCATACGACGACGGGATCTATCTGTACGATCATAACGATCATCTGTGTCATATGACGCTGAAATAAACAACAACTTATCATAAATATATCATTGACATGTGTGTTAGAAAATAGATATTATTATATGAGTGCAATATTGTCATATTGTATAGGAAAGTTTGTAAACTACAAAGCATTCTAAGAATAAATCCTGCAATATCATATGATAATGCAAGAATATCAGTAACTATTCCTTTTTCTATACTTTTGTAAATGTGTTGAACTATTTTCAGAAAAGATTTCATTCAATGTCATTTGATTCATAGACATCATATTGCATGTCAACGTTCTTTTTTTAACCTCAGCATGTACAAATCAGGGCCAATCCATTGCACACATTCAGTGGGTTAAGGATTAAATCAGGATTCTTATGCTATGTTAAAACCATTTCCATCCCTCCATATATCTTTTCTGTTGGGTTTCAAGCCACACAAACTCTGCAATGGTGACTTTCCAACATTATTGGTGAAAAAGAACCTTAGCTGTCCTCTGTGCATCATTTTAGGCAAGAATGGGTACCTGAGTATAACCATCTACCTTCCACAAGCTAGCTGGATAACTTCCAAAGTCCAAGGCAGAATTCAATACTAACATACTTACTTCTCAACTTAATTGTTAATTACACTACTTTGATGCTAAAATAATTGTAAACACACATGCAGGGAGATAAAATAACTTCCATTCATAAATTATCATATTATTCAAATACAAATGTATAATCAAAGTGTTTGAACTCACAGCATGCAAGTGGAGATAATAACTACCCTACGTCACAAGAACATGTCAGGTCAGCCTGCCTATCTTACAGTCCGAGAGAACTATTCTGTTTGCTGGATTTTAAGAGTATTTTGATATCCCATAGATTCATAAGAGGTTACATGGAACAATTTGCTCCCTTTTTTCTCAGTGTTTGATAGTAAACAGTAGTCTGTTGTTATGTTTTGCTATAACAGGTACCTATTGACCAATTAAATTGAAAATTGGTGTGACAGGTAGCTCATTACTGATTGTCCAAATTAAATTTCACTGTATTCACAATGTAAGTATTGAAGTTATTGACAATAAATGAAAACAAAAAGGAAATGTTAAATAAATCAAAACCTATAAAACATATAGGTTAACCAATGTCGACAAGTTGGTCATGATAATAGCTCTGCTTTTCTTCGGAAGGGCAGCTAAATACGAACAAATTGAAAATCGGCAAGGACAAGACCATAATGCATACAAAGCACAGTAAAAAGCAAATTTGCTAACTCAAAAATTGACTTTTAAGTAAGACAAAAACCTACTTCTATAACTGGTATCTCTAGTATGTCTAGGTGGATAATGAGACCAGCCGTCGTAATCTGTAATTGATAATGTTATCATAAACATACATTATACCGGTCCCTATATAAATGGTAGAACACTTGCGCTACACTTGTTTATTAAGGTTTGAATCCCTGCAAGACAGGAATATGATGACATACAGATGCTCGCAAAACACTTGGCAAATGCAGAATTTTTTGCAGCCTACTTTTGCAAAATCATGATGAACAAAACTGCTTTAAAACAACTCTTGGTGTGGCTGAAAGCTGACTTGCCTCAAATAATTACTGGCATCCTTAAAACTATTGACAGTCATGTGATAGGGTCATCATGCATTGAATTTCACTGTTATTACACTAATATATCAGTATCTTAGATTTTTTTTTATATTTAGTTTAAGTCACAACAATTTTAATTAAGGTCACAGTGGTGGCAACTTTCCAGTTTTACTAGGGAGGAAGACCTGGGGTTCCTCTCCCTGCAATATTTCATGCACAAAGTCCAGTTAGTAAAACCACCAATGTTCTGTAAGCCAGATGGACTTCTTAATCAAATAAAAGAATTTAAAGTTCTATTTTTTTTTAAATCAACCCACGTAAGACATATTCTAAACAGTTAGGTAATGTGGTCAAAATTTGCTGGTATAAGATAAAAATACAAGCTAAGCTTACAACAAAACAACAAATAGATTATAATATAATAAATCATACTGGCAATTGTCATATTTGCATGCAAACCTTAAAATAAAATTTTAATTTCATATCTTTTTCTCTCTCTAAAAATGCATGCTTCTAGACTATACATAAATGGAAAATAAAATTAACAACAAAAACATGAATTTAACTCATTAATATGTTTAATACAGATAGATATCACATCTCACTTTCATTTCAGCGTGCAAGCTTTAAGTACTTTACCTGAATTTCTATTAGATGAATAACCCCCACGACCTCTTGGAATTCGAGGTCGGCCTCGGCTTCTGTACCCACCACGACCTCCGCGACTAAGAATACTGTCGGTAAGATAACCAGACTGTCTACGTTCTTCTTTCACAACCTCATTGTTCCAATCACCAACTCCAACGTGCATCTCTGCATCATCTAAATAAAACAACATGTGTTAGTAAAACTAACCAGGCCTTTTCTCCCCACTGTTTTGGGAATCTTGCCTTACCCTTGGGATATTTTTGGTACTGTTTTGGCCAAAATTTTGAAAACTTTAAGTTAACTTAAAAGTCTGCACGGAAAGAGTGTCACATTTTTCTCTTTGTTATCTTGAGCAGGTATGTCTGCCTTCACCATAACTTTCTTCTCTAATTTAATTCTTATAGACAGATACACAGTATTTTTGAAAACTTTAACGCTGCAACTTATTAATGTCACTTATATTGGCCGAGCCTAGAAGCTGAGGTGTGAATGTTGGATGGTTCAACTGAGAAAAAAATACTAAGTACTATAATCAAAAACTTTTGCCTTAATTGTAAAACATTTTTCGCTTTAGAAGTTTCTGTGAGAAATGTGTAACAGACTAATGGCAGGGCTTTTTTTCACAGGTTGGGGAAGCAGCACTGCCCTAAATTTTGGGGAAAAATCACTTGGTATAAGAGAAAAATTGATGTAAATTCAAACTGCATGATTTAAAAGAATTTTTCTTTGGGAAGCAGCCCTAAAACAGCCCCTGCTATGGAAGGAAAAAAAGCCCTGATTGGTCACACTATTTCAACATCTTGTGTACTATTTCAGCACGTTTATTACAAAGATTTGTTTTTTTTCACCTGTAAATCTATCGTTGAATCTTCTCATTCCTCGACCTCGCCCACGACCCCTACCCCCTCTGTAACCTCCCCTCCTGTCATGTTCTCTGTCACTGGAATATGGGTCATTGCTGTCCCTGTAAGATCACAATTTGTAACTATCAAACAAATTTGATATAAAAACATTTAACATTTTTATTCCAAATTCATTTTTTTTTATTTGCCCTATGTTTATTAAATTCCAGCACAGATAAAGCCCGAAATATGGACACAAATAAACATGGTTTTCTTACATCTATCAACATACTACAGCCTTTTTTATTTTCTTTAATATTTGATATAATTATTGCAAATCGTTTCTATCCTTTCTTTATTATTATACAAATGTATCTATTTCTTTGCTGTACAACTGACGTCTGATTATTGGAAGTAAACACACGATTATAATAGTTATCAACAAAATACAGGAATTTTACATTTCTTTTTTCATTTTTATAGTAATGATATGTATATTATAATGGTTACCTTCTTTCTCTTGGACCAGGGAAGTAAGGTCCAGATTGAGGCCCTGCTAGGGTACGTAGCTGTTGATCTATCTCTAATTTTTCTTGCCGTAACCTTTCAACTTCCTACAATGCAATAATTTGTGACCTCATTTTCCCATTTAAAGTTTATAGTAATCAATTTCATATATCACCGTGGGTGATGGAACGGAAATGTTCACCAAATGTCAGCCGAGGTTGAAATAACCTTATCAAAGGTGAACATTTTGTTCTATCATCCAGGGTGGAATGTCACATTTATCACATCGGACAAATCAATATATTCAAATATACAACCAATCACTAAACACCCAGTATGTGTCATAAGACATACATTTTGTTACCATACTACATCACATTACAAGGATTTTTTTGTGCTTATTTTATAGCCAATATTTGGTAATATTCCCCAATTGAAAATAATATATTATTTTCCCAATCCACACGGAAAAATTTGCAATTAAAAGTTAAAAATAAGAATACTGAATAATAAATAATAAAATCTTTGAAAATAAGGGCTTCTGCATTGTTATGGTACTTAAATGTTTAAAGATGCCATCCTAGACAGCGATTCATTGCATTCATTTGCATTCATTTAATCACTGCAGAATTTAAGTCATGCGTTTTTCCCAATTTTCAACAAAACATCGCTAAAATTCCCAATTCCATTGGTATGGGTCATGTTCCCAAAATCCTGGGAAAAAAGACCTGCATAAGGCTACAACGTAAATAAGTCATGCAAGCTATAATAATACTTAATAGTGAGATGGATAGACCCACTTCTCTTTGAATAATCAATCTATATACCAATGATTCAACGACAAGACTTACCCTTAAACTGTCCAGATTATAATCCAGTAGTAATTTAGCATTATTTATATTTTCAACAGTTCCCACAAACACAAATGGCACTTGACCCTGCAAAAAAAGAGAAGAAAACAAGCCCACATGAATTACAATCTAATCAATCACTTCTGAATACACTTTATCTCAACTTGTATATACTATATAAGTTCAAAGTTGCTTTTACTCCTTTGTCCTATCCACCAGTACCTTGTATAGATAATTCTCGACTATTACAAATTTTTATCTCCCTTGGCAAGCGGCAGCCATTTCGAGGAATAAAATTGACAATACATATGTATGAAAATTAGGAACATGAACAGATGATTTAAGTGAATGGTCAAATTTGTTTTCATATACACAATATATGTGAAGAAATTTATTCCTACAGTACCAACGTCTGAAAGGTTTTTAAAAGTAAAATATTATGAAGTAAAGAAAGAAAGTAATTTACACATTGCAAAAAACATAACTTACAATCCACATAAATTACTGAAAAAGTCAAACTATGGAAAATTAGCCTTACAGTATTAGTCACATAGTAAAAGATACTATAAAATCAGTCATTTATCACACATAAAATGTAAATAATTACCATACATAAATCTTGAATATTTGTACTTTTCTAAAAGTCTTAGAACATATTTCTCAAGTTTGATTTTCTTAAAATATTTTGGCTCATCTGGAGGCATGCAGCTTTAATATGATCATGCATGCAGCTTTAATATGACCATTTTGTCACAAAGTTTTTTGTTTTGTTTTTTATACATAAGAATATACTTTAGTTTTTCTTTGTTTGTACAAAAAAGATTTAAAATTTGGTATAGATCTACTAGTATTTTTTTTCTTTTGCTATTGTTGAACCAGAAGGCTGTACTGAAAATAAGTATATACATATTCTCTTACTGTGTAAACTTTGTATGTTACCTTCTCTAAATAAAGATTTTATTACTATAATTAACATCATTATTGTTATCATTATTATGTATATAAAGACAATCTGACTGAAGGAAATTCAGTAATACAGTGTGATCTGCAGCAATGACTATGATGTAATGCCACTACATTATAGTTGGATACAAGAATGCATAATTATAATAATAGGGATACTATATATGAGTATATTGATTTATTAGTTGTATTATCGCTCTCATGGATTTTCACTAGAATGGGTAACACTTGGTGCTTCTATACCTTGTGACATCCGAGACTAATAAAATCAACTGAAGTCAAATTTAAGTCCCAGATCAAGATAATGTATTAAAAGCACATTATGCCTCAGAAATCCATATTTATTTAATTTTTTAGAAATGTCAAACATGTGTTTAGTAATGCTTTAATAAATGATTTAGAGCAGGTTAGATGTTTAACAGCTGAAGAAAGTAGCACTGAATGTGCAGTAATGTATCGTTAAGGTAGCAAATTGTAAACAAAAAAATATTTTGAATGCCATACAAATACTAATTCACTATAATTATACCATCTACCAAAAGAGTAAAAGAAGCAAAGTTAGGTCAGCAATATGGCAAATGAGTATTGTTTTGGAACTTGCAACAAGAGACCAATCATGGCAAGTTTTTTTTCTTTCTTTTTTTTGAAAAATAAAAATGACAGTATTTCTGAGGTAAGGTGGGCCTTTAATAACCCTGTTATATATTTATATATCACTGAGTGAAAACAGTTCAATTTCCTATTAAATCCATGCATTACAAACCTAAAACAAAATATAGGATTACATTTATTACATTTGATATACATAATAAACATCAGCATGTGGCTGACAACATCAAGATTTTCTGGCAGCCATTTAATGTGACTTTCAAGCCACATAATAGTACACTGATGGCTGTAAATGTAATTTCTGACTATAAAACATGGATATACACAAAGAATGATAATGAGAATAGGAGAAAATATACAAATATTTAATTATAGTTATATTCTTCATATCTGAAAAAAAGACATCATAAAAATAACATGTCACAGATTTAATATCAAAGCTCTAAAGTCATAGCAGGCCAAACCCATGCCTAAATATTTGCAGGGAAGATGTTTAGAAGCAAAAAAGATGAGGAAGTGATTAAACATTTATATACAATGCTTTATTATGATTATTTTTTTACCGTACATTTAGATTGCTAAGAAAAATCTAATATACAAGATATTAATGTAATACCGATATAAAAGGGACCATCAGTCATTTACTTCTTCCAACATGATAAATATTTACGTCTATAATTCTATCTTTAGACACATTGTTATTCATACTACTAGTATAGCTTGTTTAAGTTTTGGCACTTTGATAACCGTGCCTTTCATAATATAATTCATTGATCAACTCTTCAATCACTAGAAGCTATATGACAGGCCCATCCCACAAATGATGTCACATCAAACATCATATGTCTACAGTGTAATCAGGCTCTATGCTGTTTTACCGATTTCTAGCATCATTTATTATAATATCTTGAAGTTCCTCACATTTAAAATGGACAGTCCTTACAATTATAATGGATAGTTTCAAAATAGAAAGCTGGGTAATTCCATAATACAAATCTAGCAGGTTCTTAAGAACAATTCACAACAATCTAAACAGCGAAAAAAAAAAGGGGGGGGGGGGGAATGAGATAAAGTACTTTCTATAACTTAGTTTAGTTGATACAAATTTATTTTAGTTTAATTGTGTAGGCAGCTATAAGCTTATTGAAACACTCTTGAATCTGTTCCTGGAATCAACCAGTACTAAGCAATTAATGTAGTTTCTTGCTCATAGAAACAATGACTTGCCCCTATTGGGGGTTTGAACCCTTGCTGCTAGCAATCCTTAGATTACTAGTCTGACGTGTTACCACTCGGTCACGCCGCCACTCTTTAATTTGAAATAACAATCTGGAATAAGCTTCTTAATACAAGAACTAGGTCTCCATTGATTTTCACGACAAACTTTAATAAAACCGTGCCATTTCTATATTTTTGCCTTTTTCTTTGATTTAATCAAGGGACATAAAACATTTTAAACAAATTTACAAATAGTTAAAAACATTCATGCATGCAGTGATAAAAACAAAATTAGATCTACACTTTTTTTTTTATACAAATTAAACGTCATTAATTATATTAAATTCAAATGTTATCAAGTTTTAAGTTTCTATGAATCTTCATTACCCCATTATCATTAATTATACATTGATTTACTTAATAAAATATTATATTTCACTAATAAATTTCATGTTTCAAGACTGTGAATGTTGTTGTCAAAAGACAGTTTATAATATAAGTTATGTTCATCTTGGATGAAAAATCATGCTTAAATATTAAGACAAAAATTCTGACCACATTTTTGGTTTCTTAAAGTTTAAACCCTACTTTTGCAACACGCAGCATTTGTTCATATAATCTATACTTCCCATTAAAATCTTTATTTTGTTACTTTTGGTATATAAAATACATAACGAGAAATGTTACAGGGTTAATTAGGAATAAACAACGCTTGTCAAGAAATTTCACTTCTTAATCCTTACTGTTGACAGAAACAACTTTTCAACGCCACCATCATGGATGAAAGTTTTAATTATTTAATCTGTAGACATCATACTTGAAATGTATTTTAATATTGAAATAACTTAGTTACAAAATAAGCAGTTCTTGTTTCAAAGCAGTGAGAGACCATCTGATCAAGGTTAACCTCCATTTTTCTTTTTTAGTAAATGTCAGCCTAGAATTAATATTTCTTAGAACTTTGTTTTTCATATGGCAGTATCATGACAATTAACCTAATAAATAAGCACATATTAAAATTCCCGCAACCGTTCTACTTCTAGATAATAAAAAAAAAGAGAAAGAAATAAAAAGTGCATTGGTGTTGCACAACATTTAATTACGTTTAACACAGACAAAATGTAAAAGACTTTTATACAAACCGATTTTGAAGCAATGGGGACATCTGGCTACCATACTAAAATAAGATAAAAAATTCCTCATCCCGTCACTGCCGTCTTACTTGAATTCATCAATCTTTTGTTTTTTTCTGTTTTTTTATTATATATTTAAATGATGGTAGGTCCCTTTTATATAGGCATTTATATAAAACCTGATCTATTTCATTCCAATCTATAAAATCATGTGTTAATTAAACCCTATGAGCACTGCATATGGTGTGTATGTATATGAAAGTAGTGCTTAATTAAATGGAAACAAAAAAAGATGCTTGATAATGGGCAACTATGATTGAATAATTAACAAGAAGAAAAGATGGAGTAAAAAAAAGTTCCATGAAAAAGAGTTATCGTAGTTACAGAATGAAATGCAAACACTCAAAATAAGACGTAAAATAATAGAAAATTTGTTGGTTTTTAGTTAATATGGAATAGATCTTACAAATATTTGAAAATTCTCAGTTCTTAGAGAGATATATAGCTTGGTTTACTTAAAGATATATCATGCTCAAATTTGATAATTGAAAATGCTGAAAATTTCTTCATAGTTTCCTTTTAAATGTAAAACAAACATCTTTTTGCCTCTTATTCAAACTAGATATATTCAGTATAAATTTCCTATATTTAATGAATTTCTGCAATATAAGTATTTTACATAAAGAAAAGCATAGCATATCTTTAAAACAATCAAATATCCTCAATACATTTTATTTTAACACCAAAAATTTTAACAATGTTACAGTTTGTGTTGTTTTATGTGATAGCTCTGGACCTACAATAATGATAGTGTCATTATGATAAAAGAGATTTAATGCATTCATAATATTTAAATTAAGTGCTAGAAACTGATAGGTTGGGTTGAGGCTAGAGTTGGTAAATGGATAATTGCCCCAGGACAGATGGCCAAGAGCGGGAGAATCGCCCCCCCCCCCCACCAAGTATGTTGGGCCAATGTGGAAAATTTTTCCCACGACCAAAGGATTTTTAAAGGGGCGGACAATTGCCAACCCCTCATTTTAAACAATCCGTTATCTGGGTAAGTTAAATCTGATGTACAAATTTCGAAAAGTTTGGAAGCAATTTGGGATAATTATCTGTGAATCTTTAGAGTCACAGCCATTCCATTTTACAGTAATATAAAAACCTGACCAAGGATCTCATAATGAGGAAGACTTGTATAATATTAAGGCAAGACTAGGTACTCCAAAAGAATAGTTCTCCTTACATAAGCACTGCGATACAATACTAGGGTTTTCATTTTTATGTGAGGCAACAGATGTGCCAACGAAAATAACCAATATGGTCAAATATCGAGAGGACATTTCAATCTACAAACTGAAAATACAACCGATATTAATAACATTTCAACAGATAATATGGATCGCCAATAACGAAAACCCTGCAGTACGGGAGATTTTAAGAAAATCAAAACTTACGTCCTCTCTGGGAGCATCTCTCTCATTATCACCTTCAATCTTTACTCTCACTACACCAGATTTATCTACAATATCTTGAATGTTCTTCCCATTCTTTCCTATCACCTTAGCTGAAAGTAAATAAAAACAATCATGAACAGTGTCACAACATTATGTAAGCAAATCTACATTTATAAATATCACCAAAAAAAAAAAGACAGAAAAATGTGAAAAATTAACCCTCAACTCACTGAAATTCTTACATGAACATGTCCAGCTTCCACTGTTGGAGCTATCAATGACTCCATCATCAATTTTGTGCATATCAATATGAAAATTGGAAAGTTGGTCATTCAACAGTATTAATTGAGCCTAGTCAGACTGCATGGGTGTGCATCATACCCTGGTTTTATACGTGGTGGCAAAGTCACTGATGTTTCCAGCAGGTTAGGGAAGCCCTATTTATCAACACAAAATTGCTCTCAAAACATTACAGTAACTGTTTAAATTTTAATTCTGCTATATACCATTCAGCATGTAGTAAATTGTAATGATAAAGTAACTTAATATCATGTTCCTACTAACAAAACTTCTGAAATGATGAAGGATGGTGTAAAATTCTTTACAATCAAATTTCAAGTGACTGAGAAAAAGTGGTTATGGTTGCTAACCTATAATTACTTCTATCTAACTACCATAGGATTGAATCCCACAAAAGAGTAAGAATTCTGTCATGTGGGGTAGCTCTATAGCTTACTAAAAAAAAATGTGGCAGATTAAACTTGAGTGCCCACTTGTGCCTATAATAATGCACAGAGAGGCACCTGTGTCAGTGCAACTTAATTCACATCCCATCCCCCGAAAACTTGAAAATCATAGTAATCATATAGATTTGTCTATTATTTTTCAGCCAATGTTTTACAACATTCACTCACAAATAACCTACCTACAAGGTCCCTCGGAACTTGAAATGTATCTTCAGCATATTCTAACATGGCACGAGCTTTCTTACACGCATCCTCAGACTGAAATTGCATCAGAAATGTTCAATTTTTCTGGTTTCAAATAAAAACTACATTTTATTTTTTATTCTTATTTCTGACATCTTGTATTTTATATTTTTTCTGTTCTGGTAGTTTTTACTTCGGATCACGACAGTAAGCCACATTGAATTCACCACACTTTAACTGCATCGTTCCTGGGCAGGCTGTCAAGCAGTTTACCAGTACTAGTTGCCTTCTCTTTCACAAGGAGCTGAAATTTCTGTACATGCCAGAGCAGAGGTACAGTGCAAATGACTGTAGAAAGGATTTCATGATCCAGGAATCAAACCCGGGTCGCCCTATTCACAGTCCAACGCTCTACCTATTGAGCTAACTGGAAAGCAGGTTCTAATTAAGTCACCAATTAAAAATTGTAGAGACAGAGTCTTCGATAATCAACAATTCTAAGCCTAGTACTCTTATATACTCAACCTTATGATACTTTTCATATTTTGTCAACTTATTTAACCGGTTTTTAAAATAAAGTTTTAATTGGAGTCAACATTGTAGGAGCAGATTTATTCTAATTATTATTAATTTGAATAACTCATATTTTTTGTTAAAATTTTCACCCCTTACCTCTCCATGTACTTTAAATGTACATGTACTTTCATTAAGTTCTATTCCTGTTACACCCTCAATTCTCCGTGCTTGCATAATATTAGCCCCATGCGTGCCTATAGCCAGCCCCATCAATGATTCCTCCACACTAAACTCTTCCACATGACCACTCTTTATCTTTGTACTCTGAAAAAAGGTTACACAAAAAGTAAGAAAAATTGTAACACAAAAGTAACAGAATCGCAACAATAAAAGTAACAATGCCAAATTTTTGCAATAAAAATATAGCATGCCATTTTGGGGGTCATTATTGGATGATGCATAATTAACAAAATATAAGAAATGTTATTTAATTAAAATGTTTTTTTTGTATAATTTAATTTTTTGTACAATGACTAACACTCCAGGCACATTATGTAGTGTGAGGAGTACAACAAAACTCTGTGTGCAATTGAGATAATACATAATGAAGATGATTCTGGGTAACCTCAGGTGTAACAAACTTTTTGTTAAATTTGAACTAATTTAGTTTCCCCTTATGATCAGGCAGGGTAAAACAGTGGCTGCAATTCTGATGCCTGAGCTCTTAAAGGCAACTCCTCAGCCACAAGAGGCAAAAGGTTGTCTAAATAATCTGTTGAATTTAAACCGACAGGAGATTAGGATTATGATATATAGACAAGGTTTAGTGTATATGCAAATTTATGTGTGATTTCTTTTTTACATTGTGGGATATGTGCAGTAGGCAGGTATCTTGGGTGTAAAGTTACACTGACAATGTAAATTTTTCAACTTAATTGATAGAGATATACCTTAGGATCAGTCATCCCTTTGTTTATTATTTTAGGCATAAGTGTGCACTTAAAGTACAACCATGCTAACTGCTGCATAGCTTCCTCAATTAAAAGAATTCCTAAGCTGGGTTTGAACCCAGGCTGTTGGAGGGCTATAAGTTTGAACTCAACCAAAGGGGCACCTTGTGTCGAAAAATTGGCAAAAAGCCATCTAAGTTCATTAACTTATCATCTTAATTCAGCAGTATTTCTATTTCACACTTAACACTGCAACAAATACTGCTAAATTTTGTAAGCGGATTTGCCAAGTTTTGAAGTTTGAAAAGTTTATTTAGGGTTTCAAGATATTTTAATATCAAAGAACAAAATATGAGATACCAACAGTGTAAAGCCTGGTCAGACAAAGGGTTGTGCAGGCTGACCTGGATCTATACTGTTGGCAAAGGCTGACCATTTCTGGTTCTAGCAGCTTAAACGTTAAGACTAACTTATACTGCAAACCAAAATGTTCAGCACACATCAAATAGCTTAGTCATTGTGCTCTATGAGGAGAAATAAAAAATATAATCTATTTTTAACATTATCAGAAACATTTAAAACCATGATAAAATCAACATCAATCCCTATCTATGGATAGAAAACCATTTGAAGTATCTATGGACCAAATATTTGAAGTATCTATGGACCAAATATATAGACAGTTGAAGTCAATGAAGGCAGCACAAAAAATAATAACAGTGCATAAGGAAAGGTGCAGAAATAAACATGCCGAATGTAAGCTCCCCTGATTTTTTCTTCTTCAGGAAACATAGTATGTTAACCCATTGCTTCATGAGCATTTTGTGAAAAATGGCTGTTTTCATTGAAAAGTCTCCCGTTACAAGTTCAAATTGCTATAATACTATAAAAACTGCTTCAACACTAATCAAACTTGGCACAAATGTTGACTGGACAATTGCCCTTGCAACAACATGCTCAGGCTTAAATTTTCTGTTACCATGGCAACGAGGGGACATCTCAAAATTGCCAAAAATCACTATTTTGCGTTGATTTTTTCCATCAAAATTGATTTCAAAGTGCTGCAACTTCTCAATAGATTGAGATAGAGTCAAATGCTTTTCAGCGTTGGTTACACGTTACCTTATGATCAATCTGGGGTCATTTACAGCCTCTCACAAGTCCAAAATTTTCTTGGCGATGAGGGGGACTCCGCCCCCCTTCAAACCCCCCAAACAGAAGGGGGCACATCCCCCTTCTGGCAACCCCCTGATGTATCTTTTGGTTGGGGGGCCGCGCCGAAAAAGAGGTCACTTTTTTTTACAACATTTCTCAAACAAAAACAAGTGTTTGGGGCCTAAATAAGGCATTTTTTCATCATTTGAGACAACAAAAAGGGGGGGGGGTGAAAAAGGCGTTAAAAGGCGTGTATATGAAGTAATGGGTTAACAGAAAATGATGAAAATACTTGAAATTACCCTAAATCGCGTTTTTTCATGTTTAAACATGGCCTGTCATATAAATTTGAAGATAAATTGTTGTTTTGTAGATTTTTTTATTTTTTTCATTAACCCATTGCTTCATGAGCATTTTGTGAAAAATGGCTGTTTTCATTGAAAAGTCTCCCGTTACAAGTTCAAATTGCTATAATACTATAAAAACTGCTTCAACACTAATCAAACTTGGCACAAATGTTGACTGGACAATTGCCCTTGCAACAACATGCTCAGGCTTAAATTTTCTGTTACCATGGCAACGAGGGGACATCTCAAAATTGCCAAAAATCACTATTTTGCGTTGATTTTTTCCATCAAAATTGATTTCAAAGTGCTGCAACTTCTCAATAGATTGAGATAGAGTCAAATGCTTTTCAGCGTTGGTTACACGTTACCTTATGATCAATCTGGGGTCATTTACAGCCTCTCACAAGTCCAAAATTTTCTTGGCGATGAGGGGGACTCCGCCCCCCTTCAAACCCCCCAAACAGAAGGGGGCACATCCCCCTTCTGGCAACCCCCTGATGTATCTTTTGGTTGGGGGGCCGCGCCGAAAAAGAGGTCACTTTTTTTAACAACATTTCTCAAACAAAAACAAGTGTTTGGGGCCTAAATAAGACATTTTTTCATCATTTGAGACAACAAAAAGGGGGGGGGGGGGGGTGAAAAAGGCGTTAAAAGGCGTGTATATGAAGTAATGGGTTAATAACATAGGTTTATTTTTTAATTGTAAAAGATTATTTATTCAAGTACTTATATTCATAAAATATTGAACTTGAAAACAATATATCTTCAAAAATGTATCACCATTCAGCTAGAATTGGCAAACTTTTAACAAAAATTGATGTTCAGAACTTCTATGTTTAACATATTTATACAATTTACCCTTAAAATGTGCTCAAAATAAAAGTGCATGTGTAATTAACAGTGTAATGTATGGTTTTGACAGTGTGCACAAAAAACATTAAATAACAGGGTAATGTTTTCTAATTAGCTAATTAGTATGTAAAATCAAAATATCTTTTAATACTAGATATTATATTATGATTTTGATTAAGAGATTAATTTTTCATTAAATCCATTTTAATTGCAATACAATTCCAAATATTAGTTAGCTATTGCAATTAGATACACTTCATTCTGATTGTTCACCACAAACACACACTGCCAAAAGCTAGGCTGAAAGATCTATTTAGAAACGACCCAACTATCTTCAAAAATATTTCAAAATTGATATGATTCCATAATACACTATGGAATATAAATTCATAATAAAATACAGTATTTGATTCCATGATACAATATGGTATTTGATTACAGTGTGTAATAAATCCAGGAAATAATATCGTGGATGAATCTATAATACAATATGAATATGAAAAACAAATTTATGATAAAACATGAATTAACCAATATGATACATATGATACAATATGTGGATGAATCCATGATAAAATATAGCTGATGAATCCATATTACACTATGCTGGACGAATGATAAATTTGGTGCATTATTCTATGATTACAGTATGGTCATGTGCTAGACATATATGAAGTGTGTGATAATAAAGCAGCTTGCAGCTTTCTGTCAGGTACTTATTAAAGCATTAAGTGTTGAAACAGTCTGTTAGCAAATTTCCTGTAATCCTCAACAATCACTTATTTAAGACAAGTTTATCATATTAAAGACGTCACAAGGTGACCATATTTCAGACAAGGTGACCATATTTCAGACAATGTGACTTTATTTCAGACAAGGTGACCATATTTCTGACAAGGTGATCATATTTCAGATAAGGTGACTATATTTCAGACAAGGTGACCATATTTCAGACAAGGTGATCATATTTCAGACAAGGTGACCATATTTCAGACAATGTGACTTTATTTCAGACAAGGTGACCATATTTCTGACAAGGTGATCATATTTCAGACAATGTGACTTTATTTCAGACAAGGTGACCATATTTCAGACAAGGTGATCATATTTCTGACAAGGTGATCATATTTAAGACAAGGTGACCATATTTCAGACAAGGTGACCATATTTAAGACAAGGTGACCATATTTCAGACAAGGTGACCATATTTCAGACAAGGTGACCATATTTCAGACAAGGTGATCATATTTCAGACAAGGTGACCATATTTCAGACAAGGTGACCATATTTCAGACAAGGTGACCATATTTCAGACAAGGTGACCATATTTCAGACAAGGTGACCATATTTCTGACAAGGTGGCCATATTTCTGACATGTAAATAGTTCATCAGACTGTAAAACCAGATTCACTTAGAAAACAAGTTTAGACAGAAAATGAACAAGAGGGCCATGATGGCCCTAAGGACGCCCACCTGTATGTAGGCTCTCGGAGAGGGGCCAGTTTGAACCCCAGGGCTTTTATTTGAACAAACTTGGAAGACACCTATAAGAAGATGTTTCATGATGTACACACTTATATTGAAAAACAATGATCTGTCCTCCCCTACCCCCGGCAGGGCCAATTTTAACCAAGGGCTTTTATTTGAACAAACTTGGTAGACACCCATAAGAAGATGTTTCATGCTAAACATCTAAGCTGTAGCTCATTGGGTTTTTTAAAAGAAGATTTTTTAAGTTTTTACTATACACATATAGTTAAAAACAATGACACCCCTGGGGCGGGGCCAGTTTTGACCCTAGGGCTTTTATTTGAACAAACTTTGTATACACTTACTAGAACATGTTTCATGCTTAATATCTAAACTCTAGCTATTTGGTTTTTTTTCAAAGATGTTTTTTAAGTTTTTCCTATACACATATAAGGAAAATCAATGACCCCCGGGGCAGGGCCAATTTTGACCCCAGGGCTTTTATTTGAACAAACTTTGTAGACACTCACTAGAAGTTGTTTCATGCTTAATATCTTTACTCTAGCTATTTAGGTTTTTTCAAAGAATACTTTTTAAGTTTTTGCTATACACATAAAAATTATATAAGGAAAATCAATGAACCCCGGGGCGGGGCCAACTTTGACCCCAGGGCTCTTATTTGAACAAACTTGGTAGACACCCATTAGAACATGTTTCATGCTAAATTTCTTAGCTCTAGCTCTTTGAGTTCTTTAAAAGAAGATTTTTTAAGTTTTTACTATATACATATAGGGAAAATTAATGACCCCCTGGGGCGGGGCCAATTTTGACCCCAGGGCTTTTATTTGAACAAACTTGGTAGACACCCATTAAAACATGTTTCATGCTAAATATCTTAGCTCTAGCTCTTTGAGTTCTTTAAAAGAAAATTTTTTAAGTTTTTACTATATACATATAGGGAAAATCAATCACCCCTTGGGGCGGGGCCAATTTTGACCCCAGGGCTTTTATTTGAACAAACTTGGTAGACACTCATTAGAAGATGTTTCATGCTAAATATCTTAGCTCTAGCTCTTTTGGTTCTTTAAAAGAACATTTTTTAAGTTTTTACTATATGCATATAGGGAAAATCAATGACCCCCTGGGGCGGGGCCAATTTTGACCCCAGGGCTTTTATTTGAACAAACTTGGTAGACACTCACTAATTGATGTTTCATGCCAAATATCTAAGCTCTAGCTCTTTGGGTTTTTTAAAAGAAGATAATTAAAGTTTTTTCTTTCGGTTGCCATGGCAACCAGAGTTCTGCATGGAATTAAATTCTTTGAACAATTTTTAAAGGTGACCACCAAAGGAACATTCCTGTGAAGTTTGGATGAAATTGGCTTAGTGGTTTATGAGGAGATGTCATTTAAAGTAAAAGTTTACGGACGGACTGACGCCGGACGAAAAGCGATCACAAAAGCTCACCCTGTCACTTTGTGACAGGTGAGCTAAAAATGAAGAAAGGGAAATCATATTTTAGGTAAGTAACACAATAAATTTTCCGAAATTTAATTTCTTCTAAAATTTTAAGCCATGAACTTGTCATATCCTATATATGCATGTAATATACAAAATTAAATATCACTGACCGGTTGATTGAAAAGAAAAGCATAACAATTATGTTAAAAGCAAGGACAGAAGAGATTTCTGACTTTAATAAACTTAAGGTGGGTAAGAAAGATTTGCATAGAGTTGGCTGCATCAGGTTCAGATAGCTGAAAGCTAGGCAGTTTTAGTTGGCCTTACTAACCTGAATGTACATGTTCAACTCCTAAAACACATTGTCAAACTTCATTACATAAAAAATTTTTATAACTGAAATTTTACAATGAAATTTAACGTTCTCTTTTTCAAACATATTGGTCAAGGGTGGCAAAACTGACCCTCCATATTGCTCAGGTTGTCCTACAGCTTGTATTCACAAGTGAAATTATTACTGAATTAATCTTTCAAGTATCATATGGACATGCTTCAGTTGATAGGGACAAGTAAGCTGGAATCAGATTTTGCCAGCCCTGCAAATTTTTTGAGCTTTACTGAGATGAAAGCTTGAAGCATAATTGAAGCGCTCTCTCTCGATTTTACTTCCTGGAACGTATCAGTACCCATTCAAATCAATGATTAATCTCCAAGCAAAAAAGCATGTGCCTACAAAATTTCTTGCATGCAATTCAAATATCTAGTACACAATGACATTTCTTATTATTTTAAGTATTTATGTAAAGCAAATCAAATGTAAGAAAAAAAGTTATAATCCCGTCAACATTAAAAAATATAATAATCGCTCCCTTTAGGTATGTATTAAAATGAAGCATGCAGAAGTACAAAGGAAACCATGTTGAATGTTATAGAAAAATAGACAATTACAAAACTCCTCAAAATATCAAAGATAATACATTACATTACAAGAAATCTATTTCAGTCTATAAAGTAGGGGTGTCACAGTTAGAAATAATGCTAATCATTTAAACGGTGGCATAATAATGTTGTTAAACGTGTAACCGACCATACTAATAAAATCTTTAGAAATTCAACATTAACTTTGTTTCTTTATGACAAGATAGGCCATTTTGTTCATATTTTGTTGTAATCAAAATGATACCAATACATATCTGAAAATGGAGTAACTATTTTTCGCTAGGGTCGTACAGTATTCAATCAGACCAGAAAAAATACATTGTTGAGTACAACAATTGTCATATCTTGTCATACAAAAGCTAAGGTAATATTTAGAATCAATTTAAAACTTTTCCGCCCCTTAGTCAATTACTTACCCCAGATACCAGTTATTGAATTTTCTAACCTTATTGAATTTTCTAACCGTTTTATAGCTAAAAAACTGACCGTACCTGTTTAAATGGATAAACACGACACCCCTACTATATAAAGTTAATAAAAAGTGCAAAAGTCAACAAAACATCATAACATGAAGATAGGAACAATCCAGTCAAATCAGTTAAACTTTGGGCCTTGTATCTTACCTGTAATTTTTTTACAGCTTCTTCTGTTCGCTGTCGTAACAGACTTTTTTGACGTAAATTTCTAATATGCATATCTCCCATCATGGAAGCTCTATGTATCACAGTAGAACTGGTTGACTGAAATAATACATCAACAAACTTATACAAAATATTTAATTTTGATTACATCTTTGAATTACCCTTGATGGGCAAGAATAGGTAAATATCATATATTTATAGGGGTAAAAAACTCAAAACAACAACAGTTACTAAACAACACATGGTTTAGATATTTGATGTCTGACATAATCATGATAATGCAGGGCCTTCTCCAGTTCTTTTTTGGAGGGAAAAGGCCCCTAGCTTAAATTGAAAAATTATTTGGGAAAAAATGTGGTAATTTTTTATTTAGAAAAGGCCCCTGGTAACAATGTAAAAATCTTGTGGTATTTAATCATAAGCCTCTGGGCAGAATTTCTAAGCAATAAGAAACACATAGTTTTGAATCAATATGAACAGAAATCTTTTGAATGATACAATGTTAGTCAATTGATATTTTACATATAGGAATCAAAACAATTAGTTAACAAAAGTAAAGTCTTAAGACAGCTTTTTTTTCACTGAACGATGCCTGTCCTTGTTGATCTTGTTTATCATATTTTAAAATAGATTTTCTATTAAAATAAAATAGATTTTTTTTTCTATTTGTCATAATTCAACCTTCATTTATTGACTGACATTTAAGATATGTATTTGATGTATACCTTTAATTGACTTACACCTTTGACAAGGTTTAAGGTCAATGAGGCTAATATTAAGACTTTTTTACTACCTCACATCGGTGCTTGAGTAAACCAAGTAGATTCTATTATGTTTTTCCAATTAATTGGCCATTTAAGTACCCAAGATGTGCATAGCATGCCATGTTGGCATGGCAGAGGACAACAATAGGTAAATTACATTAACCTTTTCCCTTATATAAGCGTGTTTCGACGGCTTTTTGCCCCCCTCCCCTTTTAAGGCCTCAAACAGTGAACAAATGCCCATTAAGGCCCCAAACACTGTTTTTCGTTTGAGAAATGTTGTTAAAAAAATTGACCATTTTTTCGGCGCCGTCCCCCATCCAAATATTACATCAGGGGGTTGCCAGAAGGGGGATGTGCCCCCTTCTGTTTGGGGGGTTTGAAAGTGGGGGCGGAGTCCCCCTCATCGCCAAGAAAATTTTGGACTTGTGAGAGGCTTTAAATGACCCCAGGTCGATCATAAGATAACGTGTAACCAATGCTGAAAAGCCTTTGACTCTATCTCAATCCCTTGAGAAGTTGCAGCACTTTGAAATAAATTTTGATGGAAAAAATCGAGGCAAAAAAGTGATTTTTGGCAATTTTGAGATGTCCCCTCGTTGCCATGGTAACAGGAAATTTAAGACTGAGCCTGTCGTTACAAAGGCAATGGTCCAGTCAACATTTGTGCCAAGTTTGATTAGTATTGAAGCATTTTTCATAGTTTCATAGCAGTTTGAACTTGTGAGAGGAGGCTTTTCAGTGAAAATGGCCATTTTTCACAATATGCTCATGGGGGAAAGGGTTAAATAAAATAATAACTTTTGCAATAGAACTCAAATAAAAGACTATGATATCATATCATTATTGTTTGTAATATCACCATAAAGTGTGAGACTTGGGTAACCCTTATTAGTAATATTACTATAAATTTAATCCATTTGTTAATTACTTTACATTCACGTTTTTGCGCAAATTTGTCACGTTGGCGTCCTAACGGACGTGACGTCAAATACTTTGTACGTTATTCTGTCGAAACTAGTAAAGATTAAAGAAATATCTGTTGTTTTGGTATATTTTAACTGATATAAAGATCTATATTATAGTCACAGAATAAGAATACAAAATGTGCTTGGCTTACTAAAATAATCAAAGCTGATTGTTCGGCACTAAATAAAATACACGACCCACCAACATGTTTCTTAAACTCAACGTGGGATTGTTCATCTGCACATCTGAAACAAACAAACACCACATCATTTCTGATGCTATACAAAGACATGACATCATGTCCAATGCTATACAACCAGATGACATCATTTCTGATACTTAGTATACAAACACACGGCATCATTTCTAATGCTCTGAATTTTTATCTACATTTAATCTTCAACAAGAGCTGTCAGAAGGACAGTGTGCTTAACTATTTTCAGTGCTTAATAGTAAAACAAGAGTATGGATAATGAAAAATGTTCTAAGTTCATAATTCTGTCAATATCCATATTAAAGTTATGGGTCTTTAATAGTGACCTATTAGTTTTATGCTCTCAAAAAATGTGTGAAGTTTCAACCCATTCACATTAGTAGCTTTTGTGAAACCAACTTGCAAGCAAAAATTTAACGAAAGTTTGACTGTGACACTGATGCCTGTGTCAGGCCTGGCCTGTGTGAATAAAATAGCTCTCACTATTCTCCTGGATAAGTCAAGCATAAAACATTCTTGTATAGTTTTATTAATCAGATAGACCAACAAATAGAGCATACTTACATTTCATGTAAATCAGGTGGAATTTCTATTACATGTTTAAAGAAACTATCTTTGGTTATAGGACATCTGAAAACAATGAAATCATGCATGTTTTTTTTTATCATTGAAATTTGAAAATCAGCAAAAATAACATTGTTGAAATTGTATCTGACAGAGTGTAGCCTTCACTAAAGCATAATCTTAAAGAAAACAAGAGGGCCATGATGGCCCTAGATCGCTCACCTGACCCATCAAACTCATCCAAACAATTACCTAGACAAGCATTCTGACCAAGTCTCATGACAGGTGAGTCAAAAATGTGACCACTACAGTGTTAACAAGGATTATCCATATTTGAGCAGTGTGACCTAGTTTTTTACCCAGATGACCCATATTCAAACTTGACCTAGAAATCATCAAAACAAACTTTCAGTCCAATTTCCAGGATACTTGGATCAAAACAGTAGCAACTAGAGTGTTAACAAGATTTTTCTATTTTTAGCTCCGGTGACCTAGTTTCACATGCGATTTCGAACTCATCCGAGCAATTACCTAGACAAGCATCCTGACCAAGTTTGATGATAATTGAGTCGAAAATGTGACCACTAGAATGTTAACAAGGTTTTTCAATATTTGGCGGTGTGACCTAGTTTTTCATCCAAGATGACCCATGTTCGAACTTGACTTAGAAATCATCAAAACAAACTTTCAGACCAATTTACAGGATATTTGGATCAAAACAGTAGCCACTAGAGTGTTAACAAGATTTTTCTATTTTTAGCTCCTGTGACCTAGTTTTCATCCGAGATGACCAATGTTCGAACTCATCCAAACTATCAACTAGACAAACATCCTGACCAAGTTTGATGATGATTGAGGCAAAATTGTGACCGCTAGAGTGTTAACAAGGTTTTTCTATTTTTAGCTCTTGTGACCTAGTTTTTCATCCGAGATGACAAATGTTTGAACTCATCTGAGCTATCAAATAGAGAAGCATCCTGACCAAGTTTGATGATGATTGAGGCAAAAATGTGACCACTGGAGTGTTAACATGGTTTTTCTATTTTTAGCTCCGGTGACCTAGTTTTTCATCCGAGATGACCCATGTTCGAACTCATGCAAGCTATCACCTAGACAAGCATCCTGACCAAGTTTGATCATGATTGAGGCAAAAATGTGACCGCTAGTGTGTTAACAAAGTTTTTCTATTTTTAGCTCCGGTGACCTACTTTTTCATCAGAGATGACCCATGTTCAAACTCATGCAAGCTATCACCTAGACAAGCATCCTGACCAAGTTTGATGATGATTGATGCAAAAATGTGACCGCTAGAGTGTTAACAAGGTTTTTCTATTTTTAGCTCCAGTGACCTACTTTTTCATCAGAGATGACCCATGTTCAAACTCATCCGAGCTATCACCTAGACAAGCTTCCTGACAAAGTTTGATGATGATTGATGCCAAAATGTGACCGCTAGAGTGTTAACAAGGTTTTTCTATTTTTAGCTCTTGTGACCTAGTTTTTCATCAGAGATGACCCATGTTCGAACTCATCCAAGCTATCACCTAGACAAACATCCTGACCAAGTTTGATGATGATTGAGGCAAAAATGTGACCTCTAGAGTGTTAGCAAGGTTTTTCTATTTTTAGCTCTTGTGACCTAGTTTTTCATCCGAGATGACTCATGTTCGAACTCATCCGAGCTATCAACTAGATAAGCATCCTTACCAAGTTTGATGATGATTGAGGCAAAAAATGTGACCTCTAGAGTGTTAACAAGGTTTTTCTATTTTTAGCTCTTGTGACCTAGTTTTTCATCAGAGATGACCCATGTTCGAACTCATCCGAGCTATCAACTAGATAAGCATCCTGACCAAGTTTGATGATGATTGAGGCAAAAATGCGACCGCTAGAGTGTTAACAACAAAATGTGAACGGACGGACGACGGACAATCATCGATCCTAAAAGCTCACCCTGAGCATGCTCAGGTGAGCTAAAAATCTCAATGTTTGTTAAGGTGTGGTTTTTTTACTGACAACTAAATTCATTTATCTTTATTTTTTTTCCTTCCTTTTACATAACCTGACAGTGAAATGAATTTTTCATGTTTCAAGGGGATGGGAAGGCCCTTTAAACCCTTTTCCTCAAAAATCTCAAAAAAAAAATTTAATTTTTTGGGATAATGGTAGAAAAAGGGTTACGAGGACCCAAAAAAGGGGAAAGACACTTAAACACAGTTAAAAAATTAATAGGGAAAAAACTAGCCCCTAAAGTTAAAAAAATTCAGTTGGGGGTTGTATTTTAAAAAACTTATATAATAATTATTCTGTTTAATAAAAACAAATGCTTGACTTGCTTTTGCCTTTGACATTTAGTCTTCTTCCGGAAAAAATATGTTTATCAAAACCTTTTTTTAATTGAATAACCTTGAACATAAAACAAATTTAAATTATGATATACTATATTTAGATAGTTCCCAACTTACAAATCATTTATGGGCCGTAATCTTTCCATAGGTACAATATCAGAGTATGTTTTATCCCAGCCAACATATTCCACCACTGCAAACTCTCCACGGAACATCTTAATCTTCGCCATCCACCAACCCAATGCCTCATCATCTTGTGTCTTTGCTAAAACCTGTAATGTACAGATATTACATTGAAAAGTGTTAAGCTATATAAAAAGCTAAAATACCCCGCTGCAAAAATTATTTTTTTTAATTTTTTAAAAATTTTTACACATCAAAAATGCTTTACGAAATAAATATGGTAGGTTTAAAATGCCTTAAAGTTGAAGGCATGGGGAAAAGGAATTTAAAAAAAAATTTTTAAAAAAGGGTTTTTAAAAGGACGGAAAAAACGAATTTATAAAAACTCACCAATGTCACTTTTTGACAGGTGAGCCTAAAAACAGGGAGAATAATATTTTGTTTCCCGAACAATTTATTCTGTTTTTTATACAGCAACATTAAATTTTGTTTTTATAAAATAAAAAGAACCCCTGTTTTATTTACAACTATTTCAAGGAAAATTTATAATGTACCTTTTTTTTTGGTTTTAAAAAAACCCCAAATGTAAGCACTAATGTTTTTAGGGTTGACGAAAATTTTTATTTCTTTTTATCTTCACAACTTGGGGAAATTTTCCAAAAAAGGGGGAAAAAAAAAAATTTCCCGAAAAGGGGAAAAGGCCCCCAAATTGGCCCCAAAAAAAAAATGCCCTAATTTTTAATCAAATTCCAAATTAAAAAGCTATATTTAAATTTTTAAAATTTTTAATTTTTACATTATTTCTGGAAAAGAAGGTGGGAAAAGTAACCCCCAAAAAAACCCACCCCGCTTGGGAAAAATACTGTTTGATTATTCAAAGACTGCGTAAGACAAATTTATTTGGGTAAATTTATTTTAAATCTGTTATTTTTTAACAAAACATTATATGTTTAAACAGCTGCAAAAACCTGTCAAAAAATTTTTTAAATAATCCCAAACATCAATCCAATAATAGCCCATAGCCCTTTTGTTACAAATTTTTACATGAAAAAAAAAATATATATACGCAAATCATTTTGCAAGAATACCCAAATTTTTAAAACCCCCAAAATTATTTTTTTAATGGATTTCATCTTCTATCACTACCCCTTTAAAACAACATTTGCATTTTATTTTTCTTTTTTAGAAATTTTTTCATTTTATTTATAACCGTCAGTTAATTAGATAAATACACAAGAAGGTATATAATTATTTATTTTTTGTCTTACAATTAGATAAGCATATTATTCTCAATAGTGCTGATCATTGTATTCACAGGAAATTCTGGAAACTGATCTCAAAAGTATTCAGTGAAACATGCAATATTGTAGGCGGAATTCCTGAAGTCAAAGTTTTCCAAAACTTCTAATAATATTGGCAACCACTTGCTACGGGAACATTATATTCTCACAAAGAGCTATGCTGTACTATTAAATTTGCTTTACAATTTACAATGTACAGGCAGATAACTCCAAAATCCAGAGTTTGGTGGCTTATTATTACAGTGCAGCAAACCCCTTTCCCTGTATTTTTTTATTCCTTGAATTTCCTTAGATCATGAAAAGTTGAAAAGTTTGAATTCTTTTTGTCTATATGTGTTAGTATTGCATACAATTGATCCACCTTTAAAAATAATATCTTGATAAAGATAGATGTGGTAAAAAGTTGACATTTATTTACACAGGATTTCCCCCCTCAATATTTGGGAACATGTCAGACCCATCCTGTTATGAAGAGTTGAGCTAGTGTTCAAAAGGGGTAACATTTAAGAATTACAATTTTGCATTATTGGGTCTTATATTCCAATTTTCATAATATTTAAGCACTATATGCAGGTGGTTTTGCTATGGCCATGTCTTTTTGAATTTACTTACCCAGCATTCCCAAAAGGACAGATACTAATTTCATTTCTGGAAGGGTTTTCAATGGAAATTTTAATAAAAAATATTCATTACCCAATATTGACTGCTATTCCTTTATTGAATCTTACAATGAAAGTTAATTATCACTAAAAGACAGGTGTTTTAAAGTTCCAAACTTTACAGTCATATAAATTCAATAATTAATTTCATGAACAATTCAATATTCAGCAATCATTAAAACATAAATGCGTATCAATGAAATGAACAGACTGTTAATGCCTTGCTAATGTTATTAAACTATTAGAAATGCATTTCAGTGTGAGAAAAAAAGTCCAGGTAAATCTGGAAAAGTAATATACCACTGGAATAATCCCAGAGATGGAAATCTGGGTAACAGTTCAAAAATATAGCATTGTATACATGTTTACAGCAGGTTTTCTTGTTATTGTTATCATTTGAAACATGTTGGCATGAAATACATGATGGGTGCACAATTTCATGTTTGGGTTAAAGTGTCTGTGTCATAGCTGAATAAAATCACAACTGAACCAAAATGCTTTTAAATATGTTATAAATGAATGAAATGTTTTAAATGTGTCATAACTAAATCAACTGTTTTAAGATTTTTTTCACATCTAATGAATGTTTTAAATTTATTTTAACTGAGTTTTTTTTAATTTGCCATAACTTTAATCAATTGCTTTAGAGTTGTCATAATGTTCAAATGATAACAATTTTTAGAAAAAAATATATTATATATATTGGGAGTATTATATGCTTCAATATAATATATTTTTTCTGGCTTTTTATAAATATTCTTTATTATACTTTTAAAGTTAAATTAACAATAACATGTTTAAAATTGATTGAACTGTATGCCTGCTGTAAGTGACAGCTAAATCTGCCCAGGCAACCAGTGCAGACCACAATCAGCTGTCACATTTCTTATTTTGAAAATTTCCCTAGAAACTATGAATGGTTTTGACCAGCATGAAAGATGGACAAGTCCATTTAATGGGAGTCCCACTGAGGTCTAAAAGCCTTAAAATATAAAAATTGAATTTCTCACATAGACCAGCTGGGGCACTTATAAATCAGAAAGATATGCAAAAGATAAGCAAGAAATATACTCAGCATGTAAATTGAAAATCTTATTTTTGTGCTATTCTTAGCCTTGCCAGTGAAAAGTGTTTAATTTAGGGTCATTTTGCAGGGCCTTTTTACCTTCTATAACAGGGGCCGGTATAGGGCTGCTTCCCCAAAGAAAATTTCTTTAAAATCATGCAGTTTTCCCCAAAAATTGAATTTACATTAATTTTTTCTTCCCCTTTTGAAATTATACCAGTGTAAATTTTTCCCCAAAATTAAGGGCTGGGCTGCTTCCCCACAAACTGTTTGAAAAAAAAGGGCCCGTTTTGGGCCCAATTTACCAACAATAACAAGATATTTGTAAACATGTATGCCCCCCTATCAGCCAGCCATTATTCATGGTGATAAGGTAATTATGCATGACTTCTGACCCAGTTTACAAACAATTTAATAAGGGGTTTAATCAATATTACTGGTCATGACCTTGCCTTTGACCCCTTGACCCAAAAACTCCAATAGGGTCATTGCTGGTCAAGCAAATCATCATACAAAGTTTGAAGGTCCTAGCCTAAGCGTTTTTACTCTAATTGAATCAGAAACCGTTTTTAACTTACATTAAACAGGTACAATTGTGACCTTGACCTTTGACCCCTTGACCCCAAATCAATAGGGGGTCCATTTTGCTGGTCATGGACTAATCACCATGCCCCAAGTTTAATTCCTTAGGCCTAAGGGTTCTTTTATTATGAATCCGAAACCGTTTTAACTACCCCAAGGTCAATTGTGACCTTGACCTTTGACCCCCAAAATCAATAGGGGTCAATCTGCTGATTGACCAATCACTATCCCAAGTTTTGAAGTTTCCTAGGCCCCCAAGGGTTCTTTTAGTTATTGTTCAAGAAACCTTTTTACTTACAAGGTCAATGGGCCTTGACCCTTTGACCCCCTTGATTCCAAAATCGAAAAGGGGTAATTGTAGTCATGAAAAATCACCATACCAATTTTTGAAGTTCCTAGGCCTAAGCTGTTCTTAAGTTATGAATCAGAAAAAACCGGTTTTTACTTTACAAGGTCGATGTGACCTTGACCCTTTGACCCCCTTGACCCAAAACGCAAAGGGTCATCTGCTCTGTGTACCACCAATCATCATACAAAGTTTGAAAGTTCCTAGCCTAAGCGTTTTTAGTTAAGTTTGATCAGAAACCGTTTTTAACCTACAAGGTCAATGTACATTACCTTTGACCCCTTGACCTAAAAACAATAGGTCATCTGCTGGTCATGACCAGTCACCATACCAAGTTTGAAGTTCCTAGGCCTAGGGTTCTTAAGTTATTGATCGGAAAGATTTTAACCTACAAGGTCAATGTGACCTTTTCCCTTTACCCTTAACCCCAAATCAGTAGGGGTCATCTGCTGTCATGACCAAATCGACCATACCCAAGTTTGAAGTTCCTGTAGGCCTAAGGGTTCTTTTAGTTATTGATCGCGAAACTGCTTTTACCTAAGAGGTCAATTCACCTTACCTTTTGACCCCTTACCCCAAAATTTCAATAGGGCGTATCTACTGATCAGACCAATCACCATACCAAATTTTTGAAGTTCTAGGCCTAAGGTTCTTTAGTTATTGATCCCGAAAAACTGTTTTTACCTAAGAGGTCAATGTGACCTTACCCTTTGACCCCCCTTGACCCCAAATCAATAGGGTCATCTATGCATCATGACCAATCACCCAATCAGTTTGTAGTCCCTAGGGCCTAAGGGTTCTTTCGTTATTGACTGGAAACCGTTTTTACCTACAAGGTCAATGTGACCTTTACCCTTTAACCCTCTTAACTCAAAATCAATAGGGTCATTACTGATCATGACCCAATCACCATATCAAGTTTGAAGTCCCTAGCCTACAAAGGTCAATGTGACCTTGACCTTTAACCCTCTTAAAAACCCAAAATCAATAGGGGTCATTATGATCATGACCAATCCCATATCAAGTTTTGAATCCCTAGGCCTAAGGGTTCTTTCGTTATTGATCGGAAACCTTTTTACCTACAAGGTCAATGTGACCTTGACCTTTGACCAACTTAACCCCAAAATCAATAGGGGTCATCGCTTTTGGTCATAACCAATCACCATACCAAGTTTGAAGTTCCAGGCCCTAAGGG